AACAAACAAGGCCAGTCCTGGAGGCTCTTCTGGGACTAGTTGAACTGTGCCAAGCCAAACCAGGACAAACCGCCCACCTCTCATGTACAAAAATAGTAGACTCTCAATTTCTAACTCCAGGAACAAGAAGCTTCTTCATTCTGTCAAAAACAAATTGGTTCCACATGTGGTACAACTGTTGTTGTTGTGTCTGAGGTCTGGACATCACCCACCTGTGAATCAGTATGTGTTCCTGAAAATCATGACTTTAAATATCATCAGTCTCTCCTGAATTTTTTTGTTCTTGAACTGAGGATGATAAACATCTCCAAGGGTGGTGTCTTGTTGCCACCTTTCTTAAAGCAAAAACATGAGCGAAAGTATAAGGAGTGGACTAAAAAGTGTGCTATCTGCTCTAATGTGCCTACAGAAAGGTGTAATCGAGTGTTACATCCAAGGGCAAGGTGCACATCATGACATAACTGTTTTAGTTGTGGACTTACACATTACATTAAAGGCTGGAAATTATGTCCAAGTGTTTCTTTCAAATGAAACCATTAACACTTCATAAATCCAGGAGAATAACCAAAACAATGAGCTGAAAGACAGTGAAATGTGCTGCTGAGCGGAGAGGAGCTGCTGAATCAGGTGTCAATCCTCCCAGTCACATTACATGTAGTCTCATCTGTCTATTATTAATGAATGTACAATTATATGTGTTTATTGCCTAACATTAAGTAAGAGTTATTTTCTATGTGATATGAAAGGGTTAGCTCGCTCAAAACTTAAAAACAAATATTTTTTCATTCCCTCCTGGGAATATGGAGTGGTAACCACGTAGATAGTTTCCATTTTACTTGTGGAGGTTGAAAACGTAAAGTCTGTGCAAGTCATTCATATTTTTATTTATTTATTTATTTTTGATAATGTTGTACACCACAAACTATCCGGCCCCATGCAAATCCTTCCCGTCTCTCTCCTTCTCATAGCTCCCTTCAACTTTGAATCTCAAATATCAGGACTGAATTTTCCATTTTAAACAAATCTGGTATTTACATGAAACCAGACACAAGCAGACACTGCACAGATGGTTCAGTGAACAGATATACATGAGATCAATGTCAGCATAGAAAAGGAACAAAATGCATATATCCTTGTGTGTTTGCACATGAAAATATAAAAGCAAAGGAATCAGAGACACTTTTTAAAGATTAAAACAAAAGAAAAAATATATATGAATGTAACAAATGTGTCGGTGGAACCAGAACATACCACTGAAGCTGATACCAGAAACAAAAGAAGCACATGCTCAAAACTGCAGTACACCTGTGAATGGTGCAAGTTTGTTGTACATGAATGAATGTTAAACAAATGCAAATGATACTAAAAGCTGAAAATAGCTTAGTGTTTCAATAAATAACTTCTTAACATGATTTGTAAAATGTTCTGCATGAAAGCTTTATAGATTAAGTGACAGTTCACTTCCAGGTTCTTACATTTCTCTGTGAGAAATGGGTTATGGGGCATTTGAGGCTCTTTTGAAAAGCTGGTTGTCCTTATTGCCTCATTGTATACTGGACTTATGTCTACACAGAAAGCATTTCTGGCCTTATAATAAGCAAAGCTGCTTTACCTTACCCAAAATCCCCCTAATATCTGACAGGCTTCAGAAAGCACCAGTGTTGTGTGACCCTAACGTAACGCATTTTCACAACATTCATTAATTGCTGAATTCCTGCTTGTATCCCAAGTTGGGCAAAATCTAAATATCTTTATCATGGCTGTCAAGTCAGATTGACATGTAACCTTTCAAAGAGAATTCATCAGAACTGGGGGGTAGTGCTTTGTGTGTTAGTATGTGTGTGTGTTTCTGCATCTCTGTGGCAGACAAAGACGTCAAGTCATCAAAAGGGACAATGCATCTAGTTCAAAGCTGAACTCTGAGAGACAGACAGATGGTGGAAGGAGGTGATGGAGAGCTAAAGGTCAGTCGGTGAATCACTTGTCTGTCTGTCTGTCACCGTTCAAGTTACAGTTGCTTTCAGTATTCAGTCTCATTCACTTTTTGCACATTTGGGTTTGTAGTTTTAATTTTATTTTAAATAAAGCTGCAATTTGTGACCATCAATTTACACTAATCCATAACAGTGGATTAGCTGATGACCAGTACCTGGTGTTCTGCAGACATAATGTTTGGAAAGGAGTAGTCTTTTACTCTTGATGAACAACAAGTACACAGCAGGATTTCAGTTTTAATAACCTACCACCTCCTTTTGCAAATATTCATTTAACAATATTGTTCAGGTATATAGCAAATGCTGATGGAAAAACTCTACTACTAGATCCAAATTATTACATTTTCCCACATATTCAGAAAACAAAGAGGAAAAATTAGACAAAAACAGAGATTCAATCAAGCATGGGGCCAGCACATGCTAAGACAAAAAAGATAATGAAAAAAGTAAATAAAATAAAAAAGGTAACAAACAGGACTGAATATAACACAAACTGCAAAGAACTGAAACAGGACAGGACAAAACTGGAGGGGTAATGCAGTGTAATATTTGTGATTGCTCGTCCTTTTCCTTGAGACATTGTTTTCTCAACCACCTGTATCTTTTGAGTATCTTCCAGTCCTCCCCACTTGCCAGTGAGCCAGCGTCCAGTGTCCCATTGGTCTGGTCTGTCTGCTGCCATGGTGCCACAGGAGGCCGTATTATGGGCCGCTGTGGGTGTCACTCAAACCACTCAGAGAAGAAAAGGGAGGGAGTTGATGTAGCATTAGGTCATCCCCCCTCCCTCCCTCTCTCTGTGGCACTCTGACACATCTCATCATACAGGGGACCTGCCGGGCAGATTGACAACTCAATGAGACAACCAGCGCCAGGCTTTTACAAGCACCATTTCACGGCTTCGGTCTTTGTATGACAGACCCCCCTACACCTCCCAGTATCCCCTCCACACCCCCAAACACTGTGTTTTCTCTCCCCTTCCCTCCCTGTCCAGCCACTGTCCTGTCTCTGCTGTGCTGGTGTGACATGGAACGTAGCTGCTCCAGTTATAAGTCAAACAGCCGCCAACAGGCACAAAGATCTATTCAAAACATCACTGTATAAAAACATTAACCATTTTTATATAAAAAAATAAAAAAAAAAATCCAAAGGTAAACAAAACTGTTAATAGCTTCACCAATGAACTGTTTACTTTTTTACATAATTATCCAGATAAATATAAAATAGCATAATATATGCTGACAGGGCCCATTCTTTTGAGTACTTTTTTTTTCATATTTTATTTAACCTACAAACCTACTTACTGTAAGTATGATTTGCATAACTTTTACTTATAACAAAGTGTTTAATGCTGAAGCACAGCCACTTTTACTTAAATAAGACATCTGTATACAACTCATCCAGTGCTGATCATGTGTAGAATTACAGTGCAGGTTGCAGAACAAACACTGGTCTATAGGTAAAACAAAGGGCAAGTCCACTTTATTTAGCTTCTGTCGCACCCTGAGTATATGCCACACCATCATCAGACATGTTATTTGGAGATTCTGTAAAATCCCAGATACTGATCAACAGGTTTCTAAAAAAATTGTGGCATACAACATTAACCTGTGTGAAGTGATGAGGCGACGGTAATGAATGAAGGTGATACAGCAGTGATTTCCACGCCTTTACTCTCAGGTGCAGGATCACCTGTTGTTAATATAGTTCTTAGAGCTACCGGGCTGACAAGGAAAGATAGGCAGAAGGATGGAAGGCAACATGCAAGGTGGAGAAGGAAGGAAGGAAGAACGGAAGAAGAGCAAAAATGAGGAAAGGAGGGAAAGTGGGAGGCAAGAAGGGGAGGGGATTTTTTCACGCTTTGGTGCCTCTCAATTGAAGCCTGAACACAGGCCACAAAACCCGGCTCGCTCCATATACCTCATCTTTGCATGTGAAAGAACAGCTCAATTGTCCAGGCTTAACTGCACATTTAACCTGTGTGGACTGAAAGAAAAGGGACATTTCTCTTCCTGTCTCTCTTCTCACACCCTCTCTCGTCTTAACAAACCAATTAGCTGGACATTTCTCCTGCAAAGACAACTTCTTTACACTTGTGCTAAATAGTGAACAAGCAGCACTCGGACGCTAAATCTTTAGCCAGAGGCAGAGAGCAGTCCCTCAGCTCTTTTTCTCATTTGTTCTGGAGTTGGGGCTCAAAGATGTTCATGTGGTTTTATTGCAGGTTTGATGCCTCTATCTAGTAACTAAACTTTATCAGCAAATAGGTTTTGTGCGGTCTGTGCTTGTGGCCAGTTTACATTTTCTGTTAATGTAATGCGGATATGTTTACTGCACTGTTATATGTTAATTTATTTAGCAATCTTCAATCCAGTCTTTGTAGTGCAGAGTATCATGACTCTGTCCATGAACACTACTCATAAAACATATTTTATAATGTTATTGGAAAGTTAAACCACATTTTTAAAACTCTCCTATGGTTTAATCCAAGCAGTGGTGAACTGTTGTGAAGTGCTGCCACTCCTCTTAAACAGTTAAGTGAAAGCCAGGTTTTCTTTCTCCAGAATAGAAGCATAATGATCCCAAGTTATTCTGTGGCCACGTCCTCAGAGAGTCTGCTGCTCATGCTGAGAGCACAAGTGCAGATCTTTTTTCTGCCAAGGTATCCAGCTGTGCTTTGAGTTTAAAAAAGGTCTGTTTGGGCATACGGTGACTCTGTAAATCTGTATACATGGGCACATTGTCCCCATAACATGACTCATTAAATTCCAGGGTGAGTGATAAAGTTAGGTCTAGGTTAAGACTATAGTAAGAGTTTGTTGTGGTTTGTGTCCTGCTTCCTGTTTTGTGCTTTTATTTTGGTTAGTTTCCTTGTCCTGTGTCACCTCACCTGCCCCAGCTTCACCCCAGTGCACAATTTGTGTTCATTGCTTCCACCTGCTGCTTGTTACCACCTGGTCTCCTGTCTTTATATCCTCCTCCTTTCTCTCAGTGTGCTTGCTGGCTCATCTGATCTCCATGTCTTGCTTGTTCCTATCTCCTGTGTGCTCTCCACACATGGTTGGTTCCTTTGCTTTCACTTTCTGTTTCTGGATGCTTGTGAGTTTGATGTTGTGCTGCCTTGGTTTTAGATTCTGTATGTTTGTTGTTCTGAGTTTACTGGTTTAGTTCTTGGCTCCCTGACCATTCTATTAATCTTTAGTTCTGTTCTGTATAGAGCACCCAGTACTTTTGTTTCTTATTTTTGAGTCAAGACTGTTCAACTGCTAAAACAAGAGTGTGTCTGCCTTTTTGATCCTGCCTGAAACCTAACAGTTAGGGTTAGGTAAGTAATGGTTAAAACTAAGCCTAGAGTAAGTCTCCAGAAAATGAGTAAGTCAATGTAACATCCTCTGAAGTGATGGAAATTATTTTGCAAGGGTGTGTGCGTGCCTCAAAATGAAGCTTAATAGTTAAACTTTATCAAGCTGTTCATGTGTACAAATATATATATTCATACTTTTCTTGTGGAAGTGATTTTTATTGTCGCTGGGCATTTTAATCATTTCCTCATTGCATTGAAAGAATACATGAACCAGATGAAATTGTGTCTTTGTATGCATTTGCTGTGGCAAATGAGTTGTCTATATATTGTGTATACATTCATACTTGTTTCCCTTCTGGTTTGTCCTTACCTTTACATGGTCTTGCCATTTCAGGTATCTCGAACCAGAACTGATTTAGGAAAAATGACGTTTGCCATTAGTGCAGCAGCCTCATGGAAAAATCTGTAGTGTGTAAGTTCAAGATTGTCTAGTCATTTGCTTCCCACTGACTGTCATTAAGGCTGAACAGGAAGACTTGACACTGCCTGTTGAATTGTTGCATTTCTTGTCTTAATGTCTTCCCATTTTTGAGTCCCCTGTGATTTCTGACTGAAACCAAGCAGCTACTGTAAATGAGCATGTATGCTCAGCTGATCTACCAGTACAACCAAAAAATGGGGAACAAGAAGTTTCATGAGACAGTTGGCAACAGACAGGTACCACTGATTTTCAAACTTTCTCCAAAATGTAGTTCTGAAAATGTATTTTGTGATGTGTCTGATTTCAGCAACTGTCAGTTTTATCATTCTTGATGAGGGGGAAGACTACAACTGAGGCCTGATTTGTGATAAACTGTACTTTAATAAAAGGGTTCTCTTCACAACAAAAATCCAAGCTATAAAACACTTCTCAGGATGTTAATGGTCCCTAACATCTGTTCAATCCTATCCACTTCTACCAAGCAAGAAAGTAACTGATGCAAGTTGTTAGAACTTGACTGGCAATCTAAGAGTTAAATCCCTTTAAAGTAGATCTGCACACACCAAAGGTTTGCCTTGTTTTGTCCAGGTTGAAGTCTGCTGTAAGTGGCTAGGGGCAATGATTCAGTGAATCAGCCAAAACAGTATGTGAATGCTGTGCAGTTCCCCTATCGCTCCATAAATAATGGCTTCCTGAGGCGTTGACTCCTGGAAAGATGATGTCATCGCTGTACCTGCAAAGCTGTGAAACAGCAAACAGGGGTTTGTGTCTACAACCGAGTCTATCCTCGGCAAGAGCTCTCTACACAATGTCCGTTGCCCCAGCCCTCTGGCTTTGACACTCAGCTGAGGGGCCGGCTATAAGAGTTTCTCAGCTGGGGCCCCGGGACCAGAGCAAGTCCAAAGGCTTGGTGCTGGGAGGCTTTAATGGGCGGCCGCATCCCAGCAGCCCCTCAATGCCTGCTCATTCTTCTAGACACTTGGAGAATTAACTCCCACAGGGGCAAGCTCTGCCTCCACTCCCCCTCTACCTGAGGACAGTGGACTAAACTTCTTGATAAGTTTGTGTTTAGTTTTCATAACAAAAGGCCTAAGTGGTCTGTCAGCATGTTCAAGTGATTATTGTTGTGCAGTTGGAATACACTATATCTGAATGTCACTTTTGGCTTTTTCCTGTTAGGGGTCACCACAGCGAATCACACTGATGATTTTGCATGTTGAGATTTGGCACGTGTTTTACACCGGATGCCCTTCCTGACTTGAACCTGGGCCTAACCACTAGTCTATCAAGGAACTTCATGGAACACTACATTTATTCATTTTGCACATCATTAAGAAGCATTTCCATTTGATGAACTATCTGGTTATGCCAGTCTAACAGGCTACATTTAGCAAAGAGCTGGTGGAGATGGTTCCCTCTGCAATGTCCACCAATAGTGTCTTCGCACTGGCCAGGGCCATGGCAACCTTTAGAGCAGTCCTGGCACTGCTGCGTTTGAGACCAGAATCCAGTCTGATTTTGAGCTTATATATTGGATATTTCTTCTTCCAACACAAGTGCTTTGGAAAAGCTTTTTCACAAATAAAATCTGTACCTGCACATATACTGTGTTGGTAGTTCCCACATCATACACTGTGGACCAGGCACTGCAAAAACCGGCAGGTGCGTGATGAAAGGTGAGTAAGAAGTAAAGAATGTTTCCATTTTCATTTGTTAAAATGTTTTGCATGATTAATAAACCTAATTAAATTTTGTTCATATTTAAGGTAACTTTTTTCTTTTAATGTCTACATTTATATCTCCCTATGCATTATTTCATATACCGGTACTGTATATTGAGAGCTACAACAAAATTCCTTGTATGTGACAAAGGTTCATTCTAATTTAAAAAATTTACATGTTGTATTATGGTTTTTGCCAAAGGTAACTGAATTTGAATGGTGGCGCATCTTGTGTTAATTTTTTTTCACATTTCCACTGACCTTCCTGTCTGGTATTCATCAGTGTGAATGTGCTGCATCTTAATTAGTGGGGATGGGACACTCCCCCTGCTGAAGCCTCACTTTGTGAGGGCAGGTGCAGCTTTAAATGACTTGTTGACATTTTTTGCAATGTGCAGAAGGTGGTAGGTTGTGATCCTACAACCCACATCTCATATACATAATCCAGCAGGCAGGCAGGCCCCTGTTCTTGTTGAATGGGACTCTCCCTCTCCCTTCCTCTAGGGATGGTTCAGGGCTGAAAGGGAACCCTCACCACCCGGCTACCGAGGGCCCGTCGGTGCAGTGAGAAAATGAAGACCTCTGCGCCCCTCTAAATCCCCAGGAATTTCTCATTAAGCATAGGTCCCGGGCTGCAGAGGACCCTCTGGGCCCTCACCCACCCCCCATGAGGGTCTCCCACTCTGGCAGGGAGAATGGAGCTCTCCACTCCACTTTGTGCTGACTGCCGGCTACCAGGGCCTGTTATTCACCTTTTCCTTTTTCACTCATACAAGAGCTTTCTCCCAATCGTGCTTTCAAAGCCCTCAGGACTTCCACTTCCTTTCATTCAGTTTTTACATGAGTGTGTGTGTGTGTGTGTGTTGGGATGGGGCAGTGGGGGGTGTTGATGTCTTATAAAACCCAAAAGAGAGAAAGGCTTAAATGAATTTGACATTTTTTAATGGTCTCCTGAGATATTTTTGTCTGGAGGCGCCAAAGCTGGAATGAAGCGGACTCTCATTTCAAAGAGTTTTTTTTTCCTCACGTTGTTCAAGTACAAGTAGGATTAATGAGGATTATGTATATGAGGAGAGGTAATGAGTTTTGATGAGAGTAGAGAGGATATTTAGTGTAAGATTTCAAAACATCTCAGTCAGTCAGGATTTGGCAGCAACATCTGCTGCTGACTTTTTTTGTCTTTGTCTTGGAGTCACTTTGTCCTTTTACTTTTCTGAGAATTTACTAAAATAAAGGACAAAACATATGATGCCATTTTTTTCAGACCATAAAATGTACAAATAAGATAAACAGAGAAGGAATCCTCTTTGTGTCTTCGGTTCTTCCAGAAGAAAAGCTGTCACCTTCCCTGTGTGGAGGAGATCTGCTGCTACAACAGTTCTGATGGGCTTTGACCCAAAACACTCCTGATGCTAACTGCTGATATAAAGCTGTATTTGTATTTATTCTTTTCTCTTGTTCCTGTTGTGAAGTGTTTAGATTGGTTATATTATGATACTGCTATAAAAGCACAAAAACTGCCCAAAATGATGGGTTTGCAACCTGGTGCACATCTATGTTGCTCAGTCACATCCATGTCAGATGGAGGATTGTTCAACAATTAGTGAAAGGAAACAAAACCATTTTAAATCGGTCATGTGTCATGTTGTCGAACTGTAGGCAACAGTCCTCAAACCGAATGCGGTGCATCATTACGGTCACAAACCCATCACTTTGCCTCCGAGAATAAAACAAGTCTGAATGAACTGCAAGTCCACTAATGCCGTGATGTGTTCTGTCCGACAGCAGAGAACTGCTCCTCTGGACACTGCACTTCATCTGTCAGCTGTTCACGTTGCTAAGTGCTGGAACGATCGGTTGAGGCTCATTACCATGACTCTGTCAACATGTCTGGCAGGAGAGCAGCTCCATATGGTTCTATCACTCAGAGAGAGACTGTGATCAGATGATGGACATGCAGTGCGACAATATCTGTCTCTGTGGTGGCAGGAGGATTCAACATCTGGGGATGCTTGTCAGTAGAGACTAAGCTCCAGGTGTTGATATTTCTTGCTGTTTGTATCCTAAAAAATGTGTTTCCTGTGGTGGTGGGACCTCATTTTGTCTTTATTGTGCGTAGATGTTTTGGTTTTGTATATGGAAAGTGTAATACTGTATGTGTAAAATATTTAACAAATAAGAGGGCCTATTTATATACTTGCAGCATTCAGCTAGAGTAAAATTATTATTTTTTTATTTTTGTATTTGAAATGTTTTATTAAAAGTTGTAACAACTGTATTTAACATGCTGCACTGAAATGAAAATTCTCCTGGCCAAGATATCAGCCACACATAAATAGAGGCAGCCAGAACATTTTCACTATCTTCTGCAGGTTAACAAATGCAGCAAAGGAGCCACATTTGAATGGGGTCATAAACTGAACAAAGTGATTTGAATCAGCAAAGTCATTTGTGATTTGTGCCTCTGCTCTGGACACCAGCAATAGCTTTGGTGTAAGAAAAGTGGAGAAGGGAAAAAGAAAAAAGTTGACTGAGCAAATGAAAGATGGAAACAAAGAAAGAAAGAGAGTTGTCTCATGCAGGCCAGGACAGCTTACAGCTGGGTT